TAATTGTGTATCTAAATGAATTATATACAATATATTAAAGAGTAATAATAGATTGATTGAAAATTTAAAACTAAAATTGAAGATTAGTAATGTTATTATTAAATAAATTAATAAATATAATATCAACAATTTAAAATAATAAAAAGAACTTTTGATCTTTTGAATGAAACGAGGTTTTATTACATCTTTTAATTTTGGTCTCAAAATTTAGTTCTATTTATCATTATTCTATACTGAAATCTGAATGAATGGATCGCAAACAGAGTGAACTCTGAATGAAAGAACCAGCACGTGATGTTGTAATGCCACGTAAATTTATCATTTTCGTTGATTATTAGGGGCGGGGGAGGAGATGGCGGACGGTTGGATTTAACATTCCATAACAGCATAAATTTATTTTAGAAACAAAACAAGGGTAGATGGGTAGAGTTTGAGTCAGAAACTTTTGCGGTGTGGAAAATGCTGGATTTTCGCTGCATCATTTGATGGATTTCAAGCCTCTGGTCTGCTCTTTCTGGCATTGATCCGAGGTAAATTTTGTTTCTTTTGGGTCCATAAATACGGTTGGTATCATTCATTTTCAATTCTTTGATCAATTTTGTAATTTTCTAGGACCCTTTTTCATGATCTTATCCTGGCAGAACAGTTTTTGAAATAGATAGGAAATTTTGATTCAGGATCGAAGTTTTGACGACCCTTTTCTTGAATTTTCAGATTTTTCTAGCATTTCTTAGTTTTTGTTAACACCCTTTTTGGGGATTGGTTTCGTCATTGTTGTTTACAGGCTGGTGATTGAATTTGAGAGGTATTCTTTTGTGTTCAAGCCCTTCTTCCCTTCTAGGTATCAGAAATCTTACTTTTTGATTCATTAAGAAGGGAAAGGAAGCAGAATTTTGAAAAAAATATAAGCTTTTAGCTATATTTATATTTTTGGAATCCAAAAATGAGTCCAATCGATGGCATTATTTCGAGGAAAGTCTTGCCTGTATGTGATGGCCTCTGTTTCTTTTGCCCGTCTTTGCGTGCAAGGTCCAGACAGCCTGTTAAAAGGTACAAGAAACTGATTGCCGACATTTTCCCTCGATCTCAGGTTGGTATCTTAATTTTATATGACATTTGCATTTGCATTTCCATTTAGGTTTCTAAATCCTCATCTTAATTTGAGTAGTAGTCAAAAAAGGGACACAAAGGTGCCATTGGATGGGGGCAGTCTGGAATGGATGAGGTTTGACAGTCCCAGACACAATTATGATGTAGTTGTAGGGAATCTGTTTTTCAGCTAAGGCATATTTTAAAATGAGTTTACTTTGTCTTAAGAATTCCAGTGGTAGATGCATTAAGGACCCAATGCAACCTTTGAAGATGTAACAGCAAGCAATGTATCTCCTGTAATATGTTAACTGAGCTACTAACTTGGTCTTCATCTGTTTGATCTCATTTTTATGATCTGAAGTGAGTAACTTGTTTAAGTTGTAACATTTATTTTTTGTCTCCTTTAAAACTTGGTTTCATAAGCAGCCCTATGCATTAACTAATCTGAAATGGAAAGTATCTTCTATTAATATTATAACTTGATTTGGATTTCAGTTTCAGTAGTTATTTGTTTATTGTTTCAGTTTTATGCTCCTTCCACCGTTTTAAACTTCTGAATAATTTGAACTTTGTTCTTTATCTTTTGATAGGAAGGCGAACCAAATCATCGGAACATAGGAAGACTATGTGAATATGCTTCCAGAAATCCTTTGCGTATTCCAAAGGTATGGGGTGTTCACAGTCTGCCAGATGACACATTTGATAATCCAATATACATTTGGAAATCCCAGTTTCTCATTCTTTTGCATGCATTTGTAATTCACCTAGGCTCTGGCAAATTGGATAATACAAATCAGCCCTACTGTCCACTAAAATTTACCTTAGTTGTTCTTTTCTATCTGCAATTGGCCCCACCGGTTTCTATTGGCATTGATGATTCATTATCAGGTTGTTTGAATCATTATCTCTGATGTAAATAATGGATGCAAGTGTTTCACCTGCTCCATTAGCTTTCCCAGTTTACTTTTTGTTGTAAACTATTGCTTCCGTTTGTCACTTCTGATTGAATCTCAATGACTATTAAATGCAGGACTTGTCAACTATTATATTTCCATTTTTCTCACTCACCATGCACAAAGATGTGTGTGTGCAGACTCCCATTTTATCAATATCTAAATTTCTGCCTTAAAGCTTGAGCTACCAGAATTAGAACTGTGGAGTAGAAGTTGATACAAATGCATAATATGTTATTTATTAGGGGTAATCATCACAAGTGCAAACATTGGAAGCTCTAAAGCTCATTGGAAACAGAATTTTTAGTTGGAACTACTGCTCCAATAAGTGCAGAGCTAAGGAAATTTTATTTCTAAAGATGGTATAAAATTTTGCCATTCTTTGGAACGAAATATATGCACATGCTTGACAATATCGTGGCTTGATCCTATTTTTTTATTGTTTTCTTCCCTGCACAAATAACTTCAACAACTACATTTTTGTACTGATCCTCTTAGCCATCAAGGACAAGTCTTTATCATCCTGCTTTGTTGTGTTATAAGCTGTCATTTAGGTTATCTTCAGAATAAAATTGAGAAGTGGACTAAGAAAGGTTATGAGAGTTTCTGCTTGTTGCATGTTCCTGACTTCCTCAAAGATGTATCTTTTCTACTTTGAATCGAACTTCTTTTATGTGATTTTACATTATGTTAAAGACCAAATTATGCTTTCTGACTACTTGTTTTGCTAATTTTACAAGCAGATCACTGATGCTCTTGAGCAAAGGTGTTACAAGGAACTGCGAAAGGAGAATTTTCATGCAGCAAAAATTGTCATGTGCATTTACAGGAAATTGCTGGTCTCCTGTAAGGATCAAATGTGAGTTTATTTATTGCAAAATATCAATTTTTGGTACACAAGTTTGTGGGTTATACAAGAGGGGTATATAGCCCTGCTCTATCCAAATCCTCTTCCTCCCACCCATGTCAAGGATATTAGCCTGAGACCCCCAATTAGGCCTGATACTTGTCTTGCAATTCTTTTGTACTTCTTAATTTAAACTTTTTCAAATTATATTCTTGTTAATAATCTGCCCTCTTTCTTTGGATTGTGTGAAGATGTTGCTACATCATATTCTTTTTTTTTTTGGCTACATCATCAATATATTCACAAATTGTTTTTGTCAAGTCCAAGTAGCATCCCAGACCTGTGTGTCCTCTGCACTTAAGTAAATATGCTTGATTATCTATCTCCATTTCAATGTTTTGATAATCTCCTCAATCTTCATTGTTTATCTCATGTTCAACATTTTGCTAATAATCTGTTTTTCACTTTTTATTTACCAGCATAATATGTTAAAAGTTAAAAACGCTTTCTGCTTCCTGTAAAAAATTTTTGATTCTTTCTTCCCTTTTTATATTCATATAATATCTCTTTTAGTTTTTCCCTGATTTCATTGGATTCCTAATCTTCAACAATGTCACAGGCCATTATTTGCTAGTAGTTTACTAAGCATTATGCAAATTCTGTTGGATCAAACACGTCAGGATGAGATGCAAATTATAGGATGTCAAACTCTTTTTGAATTTGTAAATAATCAGGTTGGTGCTTTTGGAATGTTTGTTCATATGATTTCTCATTTTGTGAAATGAAGAACATTATTTTTAAAGAGATTAGTGTCAGAAGGCATGTAGGCTTCTGCCTACAGGAAACTTTAAACTCATCTCATCATACTGAATTTTGCAGAAGGATGGAACTTACATGTTTAACTTAGAAAGATTTATTCCAAAACTCTGTCAGTTAGCACAAGAAATTGGGGAAGATGAGAGGGCACTTAATTTGCGTGCGGCTTGCCTTCAGGCTCTTTCTTCAATGGTATTCTTCATGAGTTTGCTTTTATTTTAATTGCTTGATTATTTTAATTCTTGGTTGAAAAAATTGAAGAAAATACAATTCTCAACCTTGCATCTAAACTGATACTCCTTCAACTCCTATTTATCTCTTTTTTTTCTCAAGCCAACTAAACAGTCTCCCATTTGTCTTTCACTATAACTTTTTTTTATACCCTTTGTTACTACTCCCCTCATTAATTAACATTAGTGTAAGGCTTCTGTGCTTTAATTGCTATTCATTTTATAAGAACAATGGACACATGCATATGCACTTCTCCTAAGATCTCCAAATTTAGTTGAGAACCCAAGACTACAAACCAAAACTTGAATTTTTTGTATCCTTGACTCTCTTGCTCATAAAATTTGGGAAATCTGATGCTTAGGTTCTGTAAATCATAAATTAGTTCATACTTTTTTCAACCAACTTAGATGCTTGTTTCACTTCTGTGTGTTTTTCTAACTGGAATTGAAGTTAAATATGTTCTGTTATGGCAAATATTTCTTTCACAGTTACAGTTCAAAATTTGGCTATGTTTATATCCAGCATGCTACTATTATAATACATTTTGGATTTTCTGTTTTGTTGTAGATTTGGTTTATGGGTGAACACTCTCACATTACAGTGGAATTGGATAATGTAAGCAGATTTCGGCTTATTCAATTTCTTCTTTTTCAAAAAAATAAAAAAGAAAAAGAAAAAGAAAAAGAAAAATGGTTTTATGTATTTTAAATAAATTTTGCATATATTTATATAGATTATCGTGTTAAAACTTAATTTCAATTTTCAATATTGTGACTTTTTTCATTTGTTAAAAACAGGTTGTTTCAGTTGTCTTGGAAAATTATGAAGTGCCAAAGAAAAATTCAGAGAACCTTGATGGTCAAAACCGGTGGGTAGAGGAAGTGCTCAAAAATGAGGGTCTTGTCCCTCCATCAGATGCATTCACAAAGGCTCCTTCTTGGAGGACAATTGTGAATGATAAAGGCGAACTAACTGCAGCAGTGTAATCTCTTGGCTCAAGAAATGCATTTATCTTTTAGTATGTTTCAAGTCATTCCTATAATAAAATTCTTTCTGTTTTCATTCCATAGTGAAGATGCAAAGAATCCAGGCTTCTGGTCCAGAGTTTGCTTGCATAACATGGCTAAGCTAGCAAAGGAGGCTACAACTATGCGGCGTGTTCTTGAATCTCTGTTCCGTTACTTTGATGGTGGGCAATTATGGTCTCTTCAAAATGGTCTTGCCTTCCCTGTCTTAAAGGATCTTCAGTTTTTAATGGATAGCTCTGGTATTCCCGTGACTTTTAACCCCCCCCCCCTCCTTTTTCTTTACCTTGCACTGCAACTTTTAACTTTCTACCTTCATTCCCTAGGTTTTATATGTCTTTTAAATTGTAACATGTTACTACTATGTTTTCCCTTGGATTTTCTGTGCAACAATGGTGAAAGATTCATCGTTTTCTCTTTCTCATGTTTTGCAGGACAGAACACACATTTTTAGCATATTAGTTAAGCATCTTGATCATAAAAATGTCCTTAAACAACCTGATATGCAGCTTGATATCATAGAGGTCATCTGCTGCCTTGCTCAATATGCAAAAATTGAGTCTTCTGTTTCAATGCTTGGTGCAGTAAGTGATATTATGAGGCATTTAAGGAAGAGCATACATTGCTCACTTGATGATGCAAAGCTTGGACCTGACATAATACAATGGAATAGAGATTTTAAAGAAGCAGTGGATAAGTGCCTCGTACAATTATTATATAAGGTGGATTCTTCTGGTCTTAGCTTCTTAGTTATATAGTTCCTTTGTCTTTAAAAATTGGGTTGAAAACAACAAAATCTAGCACAATTTTGTTTTACTTTTTCTTTATGTTGTCATCACTGTTTAGTAATATCAATAATATTGTAATACTATATGAGATACGTTTTGGGATCTAAAATTTAGCTAACCAATGGTGTACAGGTAGGAGATGCAGGCCCAATTCTTGATGTCATGGCTGGAATGTTGGAGAACATGTCAACAATTACAGTTATAGCCAGAACTACAATTTCCGTTGTTTATCGAACCAGTCAAATTGCAGCTGCAATACCAAATCCATCATATCGAAACAAGGCAAGAATCTTAGATTCTAAATTACGTCTTTGCCTTTTTTTCCCTAATGTTTTATACTTTTGGTTGCTGTCTTTTGTAGCTAACTTCATTATTTGATATTCTTCTTTACCTCAGGCATTTCCTGAGGCTTTATTTCATCATTTACTCCCAGCTATGGTCCACCCAGACCATGAAACTCGAATTGGAGCTCACAGTATCTTTTCAGTTGTTCTTGTGCCATCTTCAGTATGCCCTCATCCATCATCAGTTAGTTCTAAGTCAAAGAAGGCCAAAGTTCCACAAACACTCTCAAGAGCTGTTTCTGTCTTTTCTTCTTCAGCTGCACTTTTTGAGATGTTAAGGGAGGAGAAATCTTTCTCAAGGGAAAATATTGTCCTAGAGAACAATGGAAGTTCTGCTAGTGAAAGAGAACCTCAAAACAATAACAGTGGGCTTCTCAATAGATTGAAATCATCTTATAGTCAAGCATATAGTGTGAAAGACGTCCCTCCCATACCTTCGGCTGATGAAAATTCTACAAGCTTCTTTAATATAGAACCTGTAAGTTTTGCCAAAAGGATAGTGGTTCCATAACATAAATATTTCTATTAAGTCCATTTACTTTATTATGTTTGCTCCTTAAACAATAACTAGATTTGATCTTTCTAGGCAATTTGATTTTAATTTTTTCCTGGATTTAGTAGCCTACATTTTCTAGGTGTAATTTTTCATAATGAACTTAAAAACAAATTTTGGTTATCTTGCCTTTAGAGGAAATATAGTTTTATATCTTCGCAAGCAATTTCCATATAGAATATTTTTTTATTAGAAAAAAAAAAAAGAAACCATGTCTGAGGTATTAGTATGGGTCAGGGAATGAAGAGCATATTAAGCAGTGATATACAAAATAAAGTGAAATCAGAAGGAAATATAGGAAATGAAAATAATTTATCGAGACTAGTAGAAAAATTAGGTGAAATCTTCTTTATTTCATTTTTTCTTTTTTTACTTTCATTGGAGCTTGTTTTCCTTTAACAATTTGCATGATAAAGCAGTATACATATTTTATAGTCATAGTACTGAACTTGGATGAACTTTCTAAGGTAGTAATGTGACTTTAGTCAAGGAGGTGCTACTTCTGTACCCTATAAGACCTTACTTGGGCTGCATCAAAATACAGACTCTTTTAAATGAATAAATCAATGTATAAATTAAGGTCAAAATGAATAACTCTGCAATTCAGTTGCCACAAAATGTGTTTTATATTGGTCTAACAGTTTTTACAATATCAAGCCTCAAGAGGTGAATTCTCTACGGCTGACCAGTCGCCAGATTACTCTTTTGCTGTCATCCATATGGGCACAGTCTCTCTCTCCAGAAAACACTCCTCAAGACTATGAAGCAATTGCTCATACCTACTGCCTTGTCTTGTTGTTTTCTCGAGCCAAGGTAACTGCTGGACCAAGTTTAGACAAGCATAGGATTTTCCTTTTAGGATGTTGGAAATACCTGTAGTGGCCAGGTTGATTTCGAGCAAGGTTATGTCCACTGATCCAATGTTCAGGCCACCAAAAATTGTAAAATATTGTCTTCAAAAATGGCTAATAACTGTAATTATTAACAAATAACTAATAGAACAATTGACATTTATTAGTTAACAAATTAAAATTGGTAAACAAACTGATATCTTCAAACACTGTTTAAGAAAAAAGACTAAAAAATTGGTGGCCTTAACATTTTTTATGGTGGCAATAACCACACCCATTGATTTCCTTGGTTTTTGATTCTCACATTGTCAGAATATGGGAATTAAAAAGCAAGGAGCTTCCATGGTTTATTTTATTTTATCTAGAAATACTAAGATGTATCATACCTGCTTTGGCCAAGAAAAGGTTGCCAAATTTGCTGCTTGTCATTAAGAAATACTTTCTTGATTCTTCTGGAGTTTAAGTTTCTTTTCCTGTCATCATTTATGTTGTAGAACTCAAGTCATGAGGTTCTAGTTCGAAGTTTCCAGCTAGCATTTTCCTTGAGAAACATCTCTCTTGGTGAAGGAGGTGGGTGTCCAAAGCTGCTGTTATTTACAATCCCATGCTCTTTTTTTGCACCCTTCATTTCCAGCTCTAACTAGATTCATAATAATAAGAAAGCAAAAAGTTCTATCTTCTGTTATTGAAATGCTAACTCATCTGAATCAAAGTCCCTACTACTTTTATAGGGCAACTCCCACCATCGCATCGTAGATCTCTTTTTACCTTGGCAACTTCAATGCTTCTCTTTTCATCAAAAGCTTACAACATTCTTTCTCTTGTCTATCGTTTCATGGCAGTCCTTATAGGAAAGACGGTATGGTGCTTGTAGAAGAGATGAAATAATATTGACAAGATACTTTTCTTGCAAAGTTTTTATGTAGTAGAGGTTAAAATTTTTATTCTTATATTTTATTTAAAAGTTTCATCTATTTTTGTTTTATTCATATTTACAATGGAGAAAATTTAAAATTATCATGAAAATGTAAAGCAGTTTCTTCCTTTCTTTTCTTCCCCTAACCAATCGTTCTACTAATATTGTGCTTGATTTTTAACATTTTTCTATGACTGAATCAGGTGGATCCATTTTTATGTCTGGTGGATGATTGTAAGTTAAAAGCTAACAGCGGGGCTGAGCAACAATATGGATCAAAAGAAGATGATAATTTGGCTCTGAAGACTCTCTCACAAATACAGATCACACAGGACCAAACTAGAGAATCACTCACTTCTGAGATCGCGAAAAGCTTGAGAAATTTGTCAGAAGTAAAGGCTTTTTTTTTTTTTTTTTTTTCTAATCTTTAAGAGAAGTCTCAGACTCCAATTGGTCTCAATGAATTTGTACCTGATGATGTGTGTCCACTGGAAGCCCAGATGTTTGTGGAAGCAGCACAAAGAAAATTTAAGGTTGATTCAGAAAAAATTAAATTTCTGGAGGTAGATTGCCTGGGGCAGCTTCTAGTTTTTCAAATAATGCACAGGACTTAGCAATTTCATTTTGCTTTTCAGAGTGCTTCGGTTATCCCAATTGAGGATGATGCTTTGCCAGAATCATTGAAAGCCAGACCAAACCTAACACAGAGTTGACCCGTGTGTCTCCAGACTTCCTGAGTGTTAATCAGCTTCTAGAATCAGTATGTCATTATCAACCATATCATTCTCTATTACCTATTTTGCACAAGTTGGTCAAGAAAAAAAATGGCTATTTTTGCCTGAAAAGTTCAAGGAGCTCTAAGTACTGATAGTGTGGATATTCCACGACCAAACTGGTGATAAGCATTTGCAATTATACCACCTAACTGGTGACGAGCAAATGCAATATGGCACAGAATTCTTGCTACTTCATATCGAAAGGAAAGAATTCATAATGACTGATAGCTTGTTTTTATTTGTGCACAGGTCCTGGAGACAGCAGATCAGTTTGGAAGAATTTCTGTCTCTACTGGACCAAACATGCCCTACAAAGAAATGGCCAGTCACTGCGAGTCACTTTTAATGGGAAAGCAGTTGAAGATGTCTCGTTTGGCGAGTGCCCATCTGCGACAAGAAAGCCTGTTTAATGTGTATTTTTACCCTCCTGAAGAGTCAAAGGTACCCTCCTATTCTCATCTTGATGCTGGTTCAAATAGCTTACTTTCTGTTATGAGGAACTTAATGTGCATGCCACTCATCATCAAACACATTCATTTAAAAACTGAGATCCTAAGAACTTTATTAAGTTCTTTGCATTAAGACATTGATCCAACATGCAAAATGTTTTTCTGTGAAGCATCTGATATGACTTTCTGAGTCCAACTTCAATGCAGGCCGGTAATCCTTTCCTTGACCAAAATCTTACCACCATTTCAATCGAACCAGTTAGAACTGTTTCAATGCTGTATGTAACAGAGTATCCACCTCTTCCCCCTTTGTTCCAATTACCATCATCAAGTCCATACGACAAATTCCTAAAAGCTGCTGATGTTGATTCTACAGAAGTACAAAAACTACTAACATCCTAAATTCTGCTCACTGGTTGTTTCTGCCTGCAAGGATGAAACCATTCATCTCCATTTATGAGCCGTTAATTTAGATAGATTGAGTTCATAAGTTTTTGGAATTCAACTCTTTCATTCTTTACAAAACTTACACAAGATGGGAGGAACTTCTCATTTGCATCCTTTATGTATTCTATTCTTATTATTGCCATTATTGTAATAGTGGACATGCAATGCATCTATATGTAACACTTAGGTTGGGTTATATATATTATTTAGGGATGTGGGAGCAGACCATTATTGGATTTAATAAAATGAAGTTCAAAATTCAGTTTAAGCTTGAGAAAGAAACTTGATTCTAAATATCTACTGTAAATCTCAACCTCATTTCCCTCTTCTACATGCAAATATATATGCAATAGCATACCTAGGCGACTGCCTTTAGATGAATCCTCCGACCAATTGATGAAACTTGAACATGAAAACCTTTAGAGAATCCTCTGATCAATCTGAACCTTCATATGTTTAGTTTTATGTGATTCTGACTGTCTTTATATGACTGTTTGTTGGTATTGTTCTCTACATCGTATTGGTATAATATTAGATACTAAAGCGTTGTTTCTGTTATTAAGTTGGTTTGCTATTGTCATTTCATTCTTCAATAATAGAGCAAGAATGAATCTAGTTCTAGTTTAGCTAAACTGATAACAGAAATGCACTGTCAAGAAGGCATTAAATCTTTGAGCCCTTCTTCCCAAATAATTGAAAGCATATTTTTAGTTTTAAAAAATAGTGATGGGAATTTTTGATAAATAAAGAAGCAACATCTTAGGCCTGAGGGAGCAACAATAATGGCCACAATGTCTGATACCCACTTCTTCTTTATTTCTCTTCTTCTTGCTCTGGTTCATTTCCAGTTTATCTTTTTGTGTACATCAAGTCAAAATATTCCCATTGTCTCTACCTAAAAAATTAATTTGTTCGTGGAGAGAGCAATAGGGTAGCACATGGAATGGCATCTTTCAGGTGTCCTGCTGTGCCTTCTAAACTGTTCCCGTATAGGACCACTCCTGTTGTACCAATTAATTTTATGCAATAATATATATATATATATATATATAGTTGGTCTTTGTCTTAAAAAAAATTAATTTGTACAACTACATAATAAATTACAACATTTCTTAACCATAAGTTTAGTTACAACATTGATGTAACTATAATTTTTATTAGATTTTTTTCACTTATCAAATTGTATGAATTAATATGCATCTACTTTTTTAATATTGCATCAAACGTTCACCGAGGAATCATTATGTAAACTATTTTTCATTGAGCGCTTCCCTGAGATAAGAATTTCATTCTCCCATCCAATGGTAGTCTTCCTAACTACCTTTAAATAATTTTGTAATAATTTAGACAATGAAATAAAGTTCAAATTCTTTCCATCTTTCTATGCAAATATGCAATAGCTTTACAATGTTTAAGCTGATATAAGCTCCATGGACCATCTTAGTTCTTGATTTAAGACAGTAGGAGTTTTGAAATCAACGGAATAAGCTCTACCTAAATTAATTTATTGATGCTGAGATTTGAAATTTATGCATGCTGAGTTTGTACCTAGAATTTCTGGGAAATTTGAAGTCTACAAATAAACTTCATTCTTTTCTGTATGTAGAGTCCAATGAGTGAACCCTGAATTTATGGATAAAAGGAATACAAATAATTCTATCACCAAATGCCCCTAAAAGAGTATTTTAAGTGATTAAAAATTTAAAACTTAAAATTAAAAATATTAAATTTAAATTTTAAGATGAGTGAAAAAAAAATAAAAAAAAAAAAAAAAAAAAAAACCAACAATTAAAAAAACAAAAAAAAAAACTCTACTATCAAATTACTTATCAATGGTTCTATACAAAACTTCATTGACAATCAATTTGATGTCATGTATACTAATTGTCCCATAAAGTGGCTAGGGACCAAAAATCACTAAGATAATATGCTTGCAAGTTGTAGCCAACATTAGTTTGAAGAATTGGGTCACATTCAATTAAATTGTTTGACATTTTCTCAATCCATAAATCTTTGATCTCTTTGCTATCTCTATATAAAGGACCTCGCCCCGGCCTCAACTTCAAGCATCAAACATAAACCAAAGTTAGAAACATCTCCATCCAATATTCAGACACTCGAAGAAAATGAGTTTCCTGAAGAATTCAACAGCAATGTCCCTCCTCCTCTTGCTGGGGCTGCTTCTTGCTGCTAGCAATGCTTCTGCACAAAATATTTTATCATGTCCGGTGGATGATTTGGTCGCCTGTGTTGGCACCTCGGGAAATGTCGCACCTACTACCCTGTGTTGCGCGGGAATTGCCCAGCTTGTACGAATTGAGGCCCAATTAGGCGAAGAGGCGGCAAAGAATTGCACCAATTTGGTCATAGCAACAGCTGGTCCATTTGATGTCGTCGCGCTCGAAAATGCATGCCACAACGGTAATTAACTTATTGTCTAGAAGGGTAACAGACGACCCCTAGGACTTATTATATATATCTATATTAATAAATGGTAATGTTATACGTATAATGCTTTTAAGTATAATGGTTTTTAAAATATACATGACTTGACATTAAACCAATGAATATATATTAATTCACTTGGGTTCTCAAATTAAGAAATTAATCATAAAATGTCATGTTATATTATAGAGACTATTATACTTAAAAATATTACACATATAGCATTTTCGTATAAATAAAGTTGAGCTTTTAAGCTCGTAGGACATGGGTCGTTTCTGTTTCCTAATATTTAGTGGTTGAACTTATATCTATGTGCTAAAATTTCTGTTCATGCAATAATAATAAATGTTGCTTTTACAATTAGTAGTGCTATTGTTTATTTAAGAAAGAATCATATTATTGACATTGGTAAACAAGTATGGTTAAACAACTCTAAGTATTGGATTCACTTTTAAATAAATATTATTTTGTAGATCAAATTTAAAATTTAAAGTTCAAAATTAATATATAAGAAATTTAATTTTTTTTAAATGTATTAAACCGATATAGGATGTGTTCTTAAAATCATTGAAAAAGCAATTAATATTATAGTGAAAGCAAGTTAAGAATATCTTAACTATTCAAATAAAAAATAAAAACACAAGTATGCTTAAACTAATATCAATAAAAAAAAATAGATAAATTAGAATCCACTGATATAAAAACTTTAATTTAGTTCACAATGTTCAATCCTATGCAAAACTAAACTAATATGTTAATTTTGGACACTGGACGGTGGACATGTAGCCCAAACACATGTTCAATGCATGCATTTTTACCCATCGACATATTGTTGGACCTAAACTTTGCCTCTCTAGGCTTGGACCAGTGCATTTATAAAATAGTTCCTACGACTGAATTCTGGGTAAGAACTAAGGAGTAGTATTGTAGAAATTTCAATATGAATTGGCTTATTTTTTTCCAATCTAAACCAAAAATAATATTTTCTCAAATTTGCTTTGTCAAAAAAAAAAAGAAAAGAAAAAAAAAAGAAAATCCGCGCGTGACATACTACATTGAAACATTCTCTTATCACAATCTCAAAAATGAAAAAAAAAAAAGGGAAGAAGAAGAAGAAGAAGAAAAAGTCCATACATGCTATTGATGAACAGGTGAAGTGCCTTCAAGAGGTGAGACAATAATAAAAGGATCACGATGTATGTCCTCTAAAGGTATAGCCCAATCACAATCAATGGAGAATCCATAGTGAAATCCCCATTACCAACATCAAGTCCATATCACAGATTCCTAAAAGCCGCTGATGATTCTACAGAAGCACAAAAAATTACTAACATCTTAAATTCTGCTCACTTGTTGTTTCAGCCTTGCTTGAATGAAATCATTCATCTCCACTCATGAGCCGTCAATATACATAGGTTGCATTTTTAAGTGTTTTTGAATTCGTTTCTCTCATTCTTTACAAAATATACACAAGATGGAAGGAACTTCTCAATTGTATCCTTTATGTATGCTATTTTGTTTACTGCAATTATTGTAAATAGTGACATGTAATGCATTTGTATGTAACACTTAGGTTGGTATTTATTATTTTGAGATGTGGGAGCATGCCCTTATAGAATTAATAAAATGAAGTTCAAATTTTGTTTAAACTTGAGAATGAAAACTTGATTCTAAATATCTATAGTAAAAGAAATTCTACAGTAAATCTCAACCTTGTGGTCCTCTTCTATATGTCAATATGCAATAGCATATCTTGGTGACTCTTGATAAGCTGAATTTCAAATATATTAATGTGAAATTTTTACCTTGATATTATTGATAATTGGATGAGTTTGATAAAATTTTACTTAATTTTACATAATTTTCATCCATATTTGACTTACTTGGAAGAAATCAAAACTTTTAGGACCAAAACCAAAGAAATCAAAACTGTGATGGTCAACTGGTCGAATCAATGAAAGTTGAAGGAACAGAACCGTTTTACCAAGGAAGAACCAAAATTGCTTAAAGCTCCTCTCACAAATTATTTATAGGTGTCCACACCTTAGTGCCGATCCTTCGTCAATTTTGTCCGCTTGAAATTCTATTGTCTTTAGTATGGGTCTCACTTCTTTTACTACTACGGTTTCTTTAAATCGTATAAATACTCGATCAAAAATTGGGAGGTTTTTGGGGGAGGCTTTTGGCAGCTTTTTAAGTATTGTGTACTCTTTGAGGCTAAATTAGAAACAGTAAAATTTCAGAAGTTAACATTCTTAGATTAAGTTTTTTGTTTTATTTAAACTTTAATTTTTTTATTTGGTTTTAAATTATTAGTTTATTATGATTATTTCGTATTTTATTATTTAAAGCATTAAATAAAATTAAAGTTTTTATTGTTAAAAATTTTGGTTAAAATACCAACTTTTATAAATTTATATTAAATTTATCTTAAATTTTTTTAAAAACAAATTTGACATTATTTAAAGGTATATATGGAGAAAGGGGGAAATGAGTTTCATAGAACTCGAACACATTACTCACAGAGGTGAACAGCCTTAACCCAAAATCAAATACCACTGGAACAAAACGGACCATTCAAATTTACCTTTAAATTTTAAAAGGTATCAAAAATATTTTTATATTTCAATTTTTAGTACCACTTTTGTCTTTCCAAATTGATCAGACGTGGTAGATGTCAGGTTAAATTGCCATATAATCACATTTCTTTTTCCAAAATAATGACGTGGAAAAGAAGAAACAATAATAATGTGATGGAGGATATGTATAACTAAAAATGTTAATCTTGTTGACTACACCTCGGCAACCAAGATGGGTAAGCTGGATGCCACCGCTTGAGGGTTGATTTAAGCTGAATTCTGATGGGTCTTACAATCTGTCTAAAAACTCTGCTAGCGCTGGAGGTTTGATCAGAGATAGTTCTGGAGGTTGGGTTGTTGGCTTTACAATCAATGTGGGTTGTGCTTCTATTTTTATAGCAGAACTTTGGGGCCTTAGGGAAGGGCTTCGAAGATGTAAATCACTTGGTTTGCCTCGAGTTATTGCTGAAATGGATTCACTCATGGCAGTTCGCTTTATTCATGAGAAACGCGAACCAGATAATTTGTCTGCAGCCATCTTGTTAGAAATTAGAAGCTTAATGCAGAGTTTCGAAGCATGTACGTTGCAGCATGTTTTAAGGGAAGGGAATACTGCAGCAGATTATTTGGCTTCCCTTGGTCATACTGCACCACCAGGCCTAACGATTTGGGACTCTCCACCAAATGGTCTTGCGAAGTTCCTTCAAGGGGACCAGCTGGGAGTCAGCTTCCTCCGTTATTAGTTTCTTTAAGTAGCTTTTATTTTAATCCTGATGTACCAAAAAAAAAAAATGTTAATTTTGGTAATTTTTAAATAAATATATTAATTTTTTATTTTTTATTTAAAAATATTAATTTTTTATTTTTTATTTAAAAATATTAATGTTAATATTTTTAAATAAAAAATAAAAAATAACATTATTAAATAAAAAATAAAAAAAATAAATATTTTTATTTAAAAATTAATAAAATTAATATTTTAAATAAAAAATAAAAAATTAATATCTTTATTTATATATTTTCTCTAATAATGAGATGATTTTTTTTTCTACATGATAATTTTTAATCTTACGTGGACAAATAAAGGACCCATATATTTTCCAAATAGAAATTTGTGTCCCTCACGTCTGATTTCCCCACTACCAATTTTCTCCATTTTGCTCAAAAACCATGCAACGCCAGAAGATCGCTCGAGAAATTGTTTCAGTCTTTTGAAACCCAGTTTTTAGTTTGAACCCTTAATAGCATTCTCAACTACAAAGATTGGCTGAACAACTCAAATTCGAAAACTACGGCCATGGTTTATGAATTCATGCATAAATCTTCGATTACAAAACAAGGGGAAATCAATCAACACAAAACAAATGATCGAAACACAGTCATGGAAATCTCAAACGCCAAAGAAACTTAAAATTAGGACTAGAGGACGAATTTATCGCTGAGTTGAAGCTGGGTCGATGTATATCTGGGAATGGATTTGCAGATTCGGGAACCTGCAGCCTTGCTAGATCGAGAACAATGAGCTTTCTAGGGTTCAATCAAAGGGGGAAGGAGGCACGAGAGAGAGGAGGCTTAGCATTGATGGCTGTAGAGAAAGAAAGAGGCAGGTGTGAGTGGATGCCAAAATCTAGTGAAACCCAAATTGAGAACAGACTTGGGAAGTGGGTTTTGTGGAAGGGAAGAGCTAGGATAGAGACTAGAGAGGAAAGGCTTAAGCCAACAAAAGAGATCCAGGGGGACGAAGATAGAGGGACAACGAAGTAATGAAGAAGTCAGGGATGAAAGAGAAGGAGATCATTGATTGATGCCCAATCTGCAGAAGAAGAAAGGAAGAAAAGTTGGCAGCACTGGGGAGTGGAGGGGGAAGGGAGAGAAGGGGAAGAGACGAAGAAGGTG